GGCACATTTGCCACGGGTCTTTGAAAGCGTCTTGCTTCCAGGAAAAAAGAGACAACAACGACGAAATGACTTCGCCGCTGGCCGATTGATCTACGGATCTGGGCATTGAACCTACGGATTCAAAAGTCTACGGACTTGAATCTGAAGTCTACGGACATTCAATCTAAGTCTACGGACTTTGACGGACAACCACTGAAATTTTTGAATCAGGTCCGCGTACCGGCACATTGACAGACTCTCAGACCCAAAAATGAGTTGGCTGTGACCCTGCGGCGCCAGTCATGACTCTGTCTTATTTTTGCATCTTTCTCGCCGCTCGTCCTTCATTTTTTGGATAGCAGCATTCCCGCAATTGTCAATGATTAAAAAAACATGATAGAATGAATAATAATGACATTCATGATAGTTAAATTTATGAATAAAATACAATGTCACGATAAAAGGTCCTCAGTTAGTCCAGCTGCGCCAGCCATGGGAGGGTCAGAGCCTGACATTCTGAAGCACTTAGTCCCAGGATCAGTTGTCGCCCAGCACGCAACGAAGACTTGCAAGCTTGCAGCGCAAGACTGTGGTTTGTGCGCTGTGCAAAAAGCTTGGAAGAGTTCCCGGAAGCCATGGCTTCGAATGGCACTGGTGGACGGAGCAGCTCGGTTTGGTTGCTCAAAGTGTGCAAAATCAGTGACAGACAGCAGCCCATGGGCCAAATTTGAGCAGGAGCCGTCTACTGTGTTACGTAAGCATAATTTAGACCGGCATGAGAAATCCCGGGCGCACCAGATGGCCGCCGCAAGTGAAGTCATTGGCGCTCCTCCAGTGGATGCTTTCAAGGACTGTTTGCAAGGTCTGACGCAGGGACAATCTGCACGGCAAGGCGGTGTTTCTTCGGACAAGAAGACACGCATGCGATACGCATTGTCGGAAGCAATTATCTCTCGCAACCGAAAGTTAATTTCAGATGCGGAAACTTTGTCTCTGATGCGGGACGAACGCAAGGGAAAACTTCTTGTCCGATTTCGGGCAGTTTGCCAAGATCTGACCACGGTCAGCGGTGTTCTGGGATTCCAGGAAGTGGCAGGCTCTGCTCTGAGCATCGCGTTGGCAACAGGTGAGATTATTACAAGATTCTGTCAGCCCTTTCGTGAACCACCTAGAGGTTCCAAGGTGCAGGAGCATCCCATGGACCAGGACCTTCTCCAAAAAAATGAAAGACAAGGTCACCATTGTTGTCAATGACGCTGCGCCAGCTGAACTGCTAGCAGGCGACTTGGAGCGAGGTCGCCGAACTTTTGCGGACGCAAGAGGAGAGGTCAGCTTCAGAAACATCAAGGTGATCGGCCGCGACGTTGCCCACGCATCCACACGTTTGCTCAAAAGACCCTTCCAAGCTTGCCAACCCTTAAAGTCAATAATGACTGAGTGGATCCACGGATCTGAAGGCTTCGCTCAAAAGGTGCATCACAGCCCAGTCCTGATTCAATGGTGGGCCAAGGCAGTGCACAACGATGACTCAGACTTGACGGGAGACCAGTGTACTTCGATGTCGGCTGCTAAACATCGGTTTTCGTCTTACTTCAACCCTCTCTCCAGGATCGTTCGAAACATGCAAAGCGCATTTCAAATCTGCGGACGCGTCCAATCGATGAGGGGAGCAGAGGCAGTGTGGGCCACAAAGCTGTGTCGAAATTTCAATGGCTTCAAAGCAGTTCTGCTCGCAATGGTCGCGGACGCGGCAGCGATCAGCAACGATTACACAAGGGACTGTGATCGCGAAGACACAGATATCGCTCAGCTGAACACGCGGGCGAACCATTTTGTGTCGTCCGCTCGGTCTCTCTTTGTGGAACGAAAGGTCCTGACCCTGCCTACTTTTACAAAAGAGTTTCTCAACAGAGAGCGCCCAGTGACCATTGTCCAAGATGGCTTGGCCCAGGAGATCGTGGTCAATCAGTGCGACCTGAATCGGGCGTTCAAGGTGATGGAGGACTATATTAAAATTATTGTTTGCTTTCATGATTCAAATGATTTTCTGCGAGTTTCTGAATTTCAATGTCTGAGTCTGAAAGTTGTCTTTGGCAGGAATGGGTTTCGCTGGCTGAAGAAGTGGTGGCGCACGAATTTCCTCATTGGCATCTATTGTCGTCATTTCAAGTCTTTCACTTGTCAGACTCTGGAAGTCAAGCGGCCGAGAACAGTGAAAGGAATTTGGAGCGAATGGCCCAAGCCTTTCAGGTTTGCCCAGCCAAGGTGAAGCAGCAATACGCTCGGCTGATGCCCATTGCCACTGCTTTGAAGAAGCAAAGCGGCATGTCCAACAGGGAAGCGTGGAAGGAAGCCATGCAACGCACAGGTCGCTATGCAAGCCGGTACGAGGCCACTGACTTTAAAGTCTTGTTGGCCGTGTACCAATGTTGGACAGCTTCCAGTAGCGGGGTGGAACAACTTTTCTCCAAGCTCAAGAGAAGCCCTGTGGAGCTTTCCAACGCCAAGGCGGAGACAGACCGTCGCACTGCCATCGTGATGGGCGACGGACACTCCAGTGTGGCCAAGGCAGAAATCATTAGTGATGCCCGAAAGATTTATGCTAGTCTATCTCAGTCTGGCGGAGTCTCGCGTCTAAGAACACTGCCAAGGTTCGATACTGGGAAGAAAGGGGGCCAGAAGAAGGGAAGCTTCGCCGCGTGGAACAGAGCACGCAAGAAAGCAGTGCAGCAAGCGGTGCAGGACTCGCGGCAAACTCCTCCACGAAAGCCATCTGCTCTGCAGACCGAATCATCGCAGAAGGAATGTGACTATCAAAGACAACAAGCTCTCAAGAGGAAGGCAGAGGCCTTGCAAGATGGACTGTTACTGGCAGATGAAATCACTTTAGAAGTGCGAGCCGAAGCAGAAAGGGTGGCCAAGGCAAGCCGCCAGCAAGACCGGCTGAGAGCGAAACAGCGGCAGGAGTACGAGTCTGGAACACAGTTGGTGACAATCAAGAGAAGCCATGAGTGGGCTTGTCAAAACCTTTCTGGACCTGCGCGGTGCTGCCCAAGCCTAGGAACTCAGCAGCAAGCAGTTGCTCGAGCTCTCCACAAGCACGGTGTGACGAGCTGCACCAAGGACATGTAGTCGCTGAGCCTGTCATGTTTTAATTTTTTGGGTGCTCCGAGTCATGCAACTTTTCTCACTGTGACTCAGGACTTGTGGCATGCGAAGCTCGTCGTGGTGAAGAATTTTACGGAAGTGGAGCGGAATGTTCGGGTCATGGCTGCGCTCACCGGCTCTGCCTTGATCTCGGCTGACGTTTTGCTTGGTCATGGAGGTGTGAAGCTAGTCTATCACCCCGGCCACAAGATAGAAGCTGCTGTCTTCGCCACCAACACTTTTCAAGACGCAGGAGCCTGGCATGACCGCGCTGCTTCGGGAAGCTTGCGCGCGCGGCGGTTGGAAAGCAGTTAGGGCGCAAGACTTGAAGGGACGCGGGAGGAAGCCAAGTTTGCTTTTACGCGGTGAAGGGGAGGTCATCGACGGTTTCAGCAAAACTAAGGTGAAGCATTTTTCCGCAGATGAATTTATGCGTTGGTTGTCAACAGTTTGCCTCAATAAGGAAGCAAGCGCCTGTGTGAAAGCAAAGTCTTGAATACACTCTGACTCTGAACCTGCGATAGGGGAAGCTCGCGGGTGGAAAAAGACACGGGAGCCCTCGTTGAGTTCGGCTATTTTATTATTATTGCCGTAGTCGTGTCGTCGCAATTTAAATTTTGGCATCCTCTCTCCCTGGCGCGTGTTTTACTACTGCAGCTGTTCATCTCAAACATAATTTTAAATTAGGACATGAGCCCGAAACCGAAGTCGAGTCAGAGGCCTGGGCCCCGCCAACCGCTTCAACGTTCCATCAGCAAAGTGAAACCGGACAAGTCTGTGACATCAGTGGTTTTACGAAACCAGCTGCTGCGTATCAATTCTCTGGCGTCAAGTTGGCAAAGACGTCTGAGCAAACATGCCCCCATGGGGGTCAAGAGCACCATTCGCTCCGCCTCGGATTGCTCCGGCTACGGCTCGGACCTCATTGCGTACAAACTCTTAGGCTTACAGAGTCGGGTTCTACCAGTGATGATGTCTGAGGTGGATGCGAACAAAGTGGTGTTACATCATGCTGTGTCGGAAGTCTGTGGCTTTAAAACTAAGAGTGAAGCCAGTGACATGTTTCTACGGAAACAAGGAGACATGAGCCCCTCAGATATCTATATCGCAGGATACCCGTGCCCTTCGTTCTCCAACTTAGGCCAAAAAAAAGGTGTGTTCGACCGGCGAGGTCTTGTCACCTTGAAAGGACTTGAATACATTGCGGTACATCGGCCACGGGGCGTTATTTTGGAACAAGTCAAGGCAATTTTGCAGAAACAACACACTAAGGTGTGGAATTACATCTTGAAAAATTTCAAGGAAATGGCATATGAGATTAATTACCGAGTACTGGACACTCGAAACTTCGCTGTACCTCAGTCTCGCCCACGGATGTATCTCCTCGCTGTGGCGAGGGAAATCTGCTGCGGAGAAGTTGCTTTGCCAGAAGATAGTCCAGACCGAGTTGATCTGCACTGGTTTCTCAACAAGAGTGTGACGGGCACAGAGAGCTTGCATTTACCCAAATATGAAGGACTCTTGGGAGACAAGATGTGGTCCAAAGGCTACATTTTGGATGTTGGTAGCTCGGAAAAGTTTCAATCAGTGATGACGAACGCATCTCCATGTCTGACAAAGACACGTCTCCAACAGGCCGGCTACTACGTTCCGAAACTTCGTCGCCGTCTGCTTCTTCAGGAAGCTGCTGCGTTG